AGTGATCAGGGCTTATTACTGGCTCTGTGCCCAGGAGGGGCTCTATGTGGTATAAGGAGTCAAATTTGGGTTGGCCATAGGCAAGGCAAGTGTCCTACTGACTGTACTTTCTCTCAGGCCCCAAGGGAGGAGAATTTTTTCAAACAAACTTTTTTTTAAACGAAAGTCACATTCTCTTTCCCTTTTTGCTGTTGTTGCTGTAATGACTGAGAGACACATACTTTAATTATGGTGCTTGATAAGCATACTCACTGGAGGTAGCACTCTAGTTTTGTTGCTAAAGCACATCCTGGTTAGTGTTTGCTGGGGCTGGTACACCTTATGTGCTTGTACATACCTGCCTGTGGCAGAATTTGTAGTAGTGCCAGGGGTACCAAACAACAGAACTGCTGGAACTGTGCTTGGCAAGGATAGGGAGAAGGGTGCCAAGGATCTAATGAGATGTATCATGTATGAAATGTAGGAGGTCTGGACCCTGATAATTATAAAGACTTTTCAGATAATTGTGGACTTTCTTCTTTTAGGCAATATCAAGCCCCAACAATTTTAAAAGTTAGTTATTAAGTTCCTTAATAGTTGAAATGTGGAATCTGAACCTACCACTAATAAACTCTTTTTACTTTTATATTTAAGCTAATTGGTCTATCTTGCCATCTGAATGAAGTGTTTATCCTATGTGCTTTTGTAACATATCATTTTGACAACACTGTCATTCTGAGCCTTTAAATGTTAACACATTTTATTTACAATAAAAATGATTGTTAATATCACTACTGGTGTCATCAGGAAAGTTATGAAAATCAAACTCACTGTGGGTGCTATAAATTTTATAAAATTCCAGGTTTTTCTTGAAGCTTTAGATTTTTATCTTTGGTGACAAAAACTATCAGTTGTTTTCTTTGAAGTGACAAGCTCACTCAGTTCCTTTCTGAGAAAATGTCTGCCAAGTACCCAAGTCTGAATAACCATAGTTTGTCTGTCAGCTGTTCTTTCAAATAAAATGATGTTCCAAGAGAAAGGGGGCCTGTTGTGTTCACACCTCAAGCATTTGCACAAATGCTTTTCTTCCTGACAACCATCAGACCTCAGCACACCACAGAGCTTTATGCACTCTTTACATTCTTTGACAAAAGATATTAAAAAAAATCTCAGGGTCAAAATTTAATCAAATTAACATATTACTTTGTTGAAGCTGCTCTTCAGTAAAGCTATCTTTTCTTTCTTTTATGCTGTTTTTATTCTGTTTCTGGGCCACACCTGTTGGTATTCAGGGATCACTTCTGGCTGGGTGCAGAGGACCATGCGACATCCAGGGACTGACCCCAGGTCAGTGCATACAAGGCAAACACCCTACCCACTGCACTACCACACTGGTCCCCATCTTTCTATTCTGTTTTTTCATTTTGTTTTTAAACAGTGTATGGGAATAAATTATACCATGATTGCTAGTCCATGTTGGAGCCACACATGGTGGTGCTGGAGGTGCTGGGGAATCAAAGCATCTGCATAGCCAATTGTGCTATCTCTTTGCCACTTGTGCCATTGCTTTGATTCAAACTAGGGTATTACCACTTTTTTCACTATCGCTTATACACTACCATGAAACATTTCAACAGAGTGAAAATGACAAATAATGTTTTAACATTGTCGTGAAAAATGATTTTGATTATTCAGATCCCCCCTGAGAAAAAGTATCCCAAAGTCCCCACCCCCCGGGGGATTTATAGACTACTCTTTGAGAATCCTAGTGTATTATATCTTCCCTTCAACAATATTCCAGTCTGTTTAGATTTACAAGACTAATAAATGTAAGACATTTTATAAATGTAAAGTATAACATCTGTAGTACATGACTGAGTACTCTAAATTTTGAGAGTTTAAAGAAGAGGATTATTAGTGAGTGATGAACAGTCAGAATGGTTCTTGGAAGAGGTGATCCAGAACAAATCAGAACTATCAACTTATATGCCATTTCCTATCTTTTCTGAAAATTCATGCCCCTTAGTTATTTAAAAATTTAATTTAAGTCAGGGATTTGTCTCTGTGGTACAGCATGTCTCATATGTGTGAAGTCCTGGATTTGATCCAGGCATCAGAAAAAAGAAAGAAAACAAAATTTAGTTTAAATTTCACAAACATTAGGAAAACTTCTAGAATTTAATTTCTGGCAACTGCTCACTACTTGGCACATATCTTACATTTAAATAACTATTTACTTTTATGCATAGTGCTATGTAGGTATAGTTAACAATTGACAACAAAACTAGATCTTGATTTTCAACATTTGTTAAGTTGCTGTGGTGTGAATACTCTTAACCATAACCAATTGTAAGCTACCAATGATTTAGCATATTCCTGACATCTAACATACTATTCCTGAAAAGTGCTCCAAGTCTCTACACTATTTCTACTTGAAAGAAAGGATTGTAGGTCTATTTACCTATATGTCCCAACTAAATTCAGTGCTGCACAAGGCAAAAATTCAAATGTTGACTAATTTATGGATATAAAAGTTAGTGTTTGTTGCTAAAAACAAATGAAATTATCTTCAAGGCAATAAAATTTTATTATCCAAAGGCACTATAAAATCTTTATCAAAGTTCTGTTGTTTGTAGATTTCATACACATATAAAAGACAACAAAAAGAGATTAGAGAAGCTGTGCAGCATAATTTCTAGTATCAAAGCCAGGAAGGGAGAAAACAAAAATGTTTATAAGTAATTCTAATTTTTTTTGATAAAGCCCTTCCTTCAGGGGAAGTTCTTCTAGGAGATTACCTGAGGGAAAAAAATTCATCTGGGGGTTCAGCAGTCTAGATTTCTAGATCTGCTCAAAGGTGGGATTCCAACTAAGGTCGAATTGCTTTCTCCTTCCATTAGCTAGTAGTCCATTTATTTCTAGTCATTTTGTATGAACACAGTAATAGATACATAAAGCTTAAAGAGTGGCTCACCCTGGGGACATTTCACTATATCTCCCAGACTACAGTCCTCAGGTCATGTTAGTCTTTCTTAATTCCAGCAGGATCCTCATCCAGTTACTACTTTTTGGATCATGACAGAGTTTGTTCCATGACTGTGCTCTTAAATTATACTTCTTATGGCGCTTAGCTTGTCCCTTTTCAATGCCAGAGTAGCTTATGGCTTTCCCTGGGTCCATCAGAGTCCCTCGCTGGGACTGTCCTTTGGGGGTATTAGGGAGTAAGGGAAACTGAAGCTTAAGTTAAGTAAATATGGTGTAAATTTTACTTACATATAAATAAATGATTTTTTTTTGCCTTTTGGGTCATACCCAGCGATGCTTAGGAGTCACTCCTGGCTCTGCACTCAGGAACCATTCCTGGCGGTGCTCGGGGGACCATATGGGACACCGGTGATCTAACCATGGTCGGCCATATGCAAGGCAAATGCCCTACCCGCTGTGCTATCGCTCTGGCCCCTATAAATAACTTTATTTATTTATATGTAATAGTATTCAAAGTCAATTAACTACCACATTACAAAAGCATAGTATCAATTGTCTTCCTGTGTCTATAAAAAAAGGACACTGCTAAACCATGCAAAGGACATAGAGGAAAAAGAAAAGCAATATAGGAGTGCCTGATGGAATAAGGTGTATCTTGGGAACAGTGTGGTCAGAGTAACTCAATAAACTGAAGCTCCCTGAGGGAGGAGCAAGGTAAAACAATGTTATGCAACAATGGCCAGTTCAGGTTAGGTCTCTGGTATCCCATATGGTTCCCTGAGTGTTGCCAGGAGTGATCACTGAGTGCAGAGTCAGGAGTAATCCTCAAGCATTGCTAGACATGGCCCAACAACCTCCCCACCAAAAGATCTATGTTCACTGCAGCATTTAGTATGATAGCAGTAAAGTGGCAATACAAATACAACCAAAAACAGATGAATGGATACAAAAATTGTGGTATAAAGATAAAATGAAGGGGCCAGAGTGATAGTACAATGGGTAGGGCACTTGCCTTGCATGTAGCTGACCTGAGTTCAATCCCTGGCATCCCATACGATCCTCTGAACCTGCAAGGAATATTCCTGAGCATAAAGCCAGCAGTAAGCCCTAAGTAATGCTGGGTGTGGCTCCAAAACAAAACCAATAAATACTCAATAGAATACTTTACAGATATAAAAAATGATGACAAAACAAGGGAATAGACAATGACAACCCCCTGGTTTTGGATTACAAAGATTATTAACACACTTTGAAGAGAGCAGTAGGAGGAAAGAAAAAAATCACATGGAAAGTGACATAGGGATCATGGTAAAGGTTCATGGGCACACTGGTGGTGGCTGGGTCCAATAACTATATCAATATCATAAATTTTAACACTATAAACTAAATTACATTATATAAATAACTACTTCCTTTTGTTTCTCCATGAAAGAAGCTTTTAAAACGCAAGCTTGCTCTACATTGAGCCAACTTGGGTTTGATCCCCAGTACCATACATGGTCCCATGACCAACACCAGGAGTGTGTGCCCTCACCACAGAATAAGGAACTGGGTGTGGCCCTGAGACAACCCCCCCAAAACATTTTATTAAAATTACTTAATTTAGCGGGGTTGAGGGTGAGTGGGGGTGGGGTTTGGGCCATACCCACTAATGCTCAGGGGTTATAGGGAATTAGTCCTGATTGTGCTCAGGGGACCACATGGGATGCTGGGATTGAACTCAGGTCAGTCGTGTGCAAGTCTAATGCCTTCCCGCTGTACAATCACTCTGGACCTTTTAAAATTTTTTAAAGCTAAAAAATTTTATATTAAAAACTGTTTTAGTAATTTTGGTTTAAACATTGTACATATTTCAGGAGAACATCAATATAAATCAGCATCAGAATATATTATGAGAATCACTTAAAATTTAGCTGCATCCTTCATCATACAATTTAGCCTTGAGAAATATGGTTTTGAGTCACTGTAGTAGGGTGTTCAATTTTGATTTGAGGCATCAGTTTTTATAGTGCCTTCCTTCAAGATAATCCCATTACCTGAGCTCCATTTCAGTCTCTAGGCTTTCAATTTGCTTTGTGATAGAATCCTCTGACTCAGAAACTGGTCCACGCTGATCAGCACGTGAGAAAGTGCGTCTCTGTGAGGGTGAAAATGAATGAAATGAAATTAATTCTCCAAAGAAGAAAGAGATTCTAGAGGGAATGCTAAGTCTGGTTCCAGTAGAGCACTCACCCTAAATTTAGGAGGTGGATTATCCCCAGATTCCTTTTTTTCTTTAAGTTGAGCCACATCCTGAGCAAGGATCTTTCTATCTTCAAGAAGGTCATTCAGATGGCGTCTGGCTTCCTCAGTACTGACCAGAACCTCAATTTCATTTCCAAGCCAATTCTAGAAGAGAAATAGATAGGCGGATTAGAGATGAGAACTCTCTAGTCCACAGGTTAGTATTTTTTTTTGACTTTTTGGGTCACACCCAGCAATGCTCAAGGGTAACTCCCGGCTATACACTCAGGGATCACTCCTGGCAGTGCTCGGGGCAGTGCCATGGGATGCCAGGGATCAAACTTGGGTTGGCCGATTGCAAGGCAAATACCCTACCTGCTGTACTACCTGCTCTGATCCCCCACAGGTTAGTTTAAGCATCATATTTCTTCTCATTTCAACCAGAGCCCAAGTAACTATAAGTGAGATTTCCATTCGTGTCTACCATCACCAAAAATTTCAATAGCTCTCAAAAGAGCAGTGAACAACATCTATTCTTGTCAAGAGAGTTGAGAAACTAGATTGAATTTATCCATCTTCCTTAATTCCTGGAGTTGTTGAAAGTACAGAAAGATTAGAACCTAGGGGTTTGCTGTTAACCATGCCACACTCATGACCAAACTGCCAATAACCTCCATCATTGTTCTTAAAATACTTCTTTTGCATCCTTCCCTCCTTAGTTTGGCATATCGAAATACGTCACAGGTAGCTTGCCAGGCTCTGCCGTGTGGGCGAGATACTCTCGGTAGCTTGCCGGGCTCTCCGAGAGGGGATGAGGAATCGAACTCGGGTTGGCCATGTTGGCTGCTTGTAAGGCAAACGCCCTACTGCTGTGCTATCGCTACAGCCCCATGATATATATATATATATATATATATATATATATATATATATATATGATTATCATATTGTAAGTTTTATCCAGAAAAGAGCCTTTTGAAGTAGTCATCGATCCTTTGCAGATTATGTAGCACTGTCCTCACACTGTTCATCAATTTGCTTGAGTGGGCACCAGTAATGTCTCCATTGTGAGACTTGTTACTGTTTTCGGCAAATCAAATACGAGACAGGGAGCTGGCCAGGCTCTGCCTCGAGGGAGATACAGGGAGCTTGCTGGGCTCTCCGACAGGGAAGGAGGAATTGAACTGAGGTCAGTGGCATGCAAAGCAAATGCTCTACCTGCTGTGCGATCGCTCCAGTCCACCGTGAGTTACAATTACAGACTTACAAACTTTCGTGATTACATTTCAGTCATACAACGTTCAAGTACCTATCCCTCCAACAGTGCGCATTCTCTACCACCAATGTTCCCATTATCCATCCTGCCACCCCCACCCCTTCCCACCCTCTACCTCTGTGGCAGGCACATTACTATTACTCCCTCTCTCCTTTTGGGTGTTATAGTTTGCAATACAGGTATTAAGCGGCCATCATGTTTGGTCTATAATCTACTTTCAGCACACATCTACCATCCCAAATGAGTCCTTCAACCATCACTTACTTAGTGGTCCCTTCTCTATTGCAGCTGCCTTTTCCCCCAGCAGATGAGACTGGCTTCCAAGGCTTGGAGTGACTTTACTGGCTCTTATCTCTACTGTCCTTAGGTGTTAGTCTCCTATTATGTTACTTTATATTCCACAAATGAGGATTTAACTATTTTTTAAAGACGCCATCCTCATGGGGGGGGGGGTGAGGGTATATTTCATTGTGGTTTTGATTTGCATTTTTTAAATAATAAGTGATATTGAGATTATTTTCATCTGTTTGTAGACCATCTGTATATAAGTCTTTGAAGGAATGTCTATTTAGGCCTGCCCATTTTTACTAAGGTTGCTCATTGTTTGATGTTGAGGTATGTGCATTTTCTATATATTTGAATACCAACTCCTTAACAGATATATGATGTGCAAATATTTTTCCTCAATGCCTAGGTTGCCTTTTTGTTTTGTGCTGGTCTCTTTGCCATGTAAAGCTTTTAAATTTTATGCAGTTCCATATGGCTAATCTAGATTTTACTTCTTTAAGGGAAAACAATGCTAAAAGAAGAAATTTCCCAAATATTCAACAAAAGTAGAGTAGATAAAGAAGCTGTGGCATAAATATGAAATGGAATACTATACAACCACAAGGAAAGATAAAATTACGCAGTTCACTACAATTTCGATAGAACTGGAGGGTGCCATGTTTAGTGAATTAAGTCAAACAGATAAGGACAAACACTAGATGTTCTTACTAATCTGTGGTATATAGAATAGTAAGACAAGGGAACTAAAAATATTAAACCTGTACAAACCCTTAGGCCCTGGATTATAAAAACAAGTATGACAAGAAAGGAGGGGTAATCAGGTGGAGGAAAAAGAGAAGGTGGAATGGTTTTCACATGGGGGTATTGGTCATTGGCCGTGGACACTTGTGTGGTGTAGAAGTGAGGTAACAGAACTAAAGTAGCCAATGATATTATAAATATGTGACCCAAACTACACTAACAGAGTAAAAACAACGAGGGATATAACAAGGCAATTTAGCGATGGGAGGAAACAGTAGAATATTGATGGAGGGAGGTAGACAACTGGTAGTGAGTTTGGCATTGGAACATTGCATGCCCAAATTTCTATTACTAACAGCATTATAAATCATGGCATCTAAATATTTTTATTAAAAAACATCAAACCAATGACCGTAGCTTATATAGTAAGAAACTGAAATATTAAGAGTAAATTAAATCTAAAATAGAAAGAACTAATGAAGATCAGATTGGAGATTACCTGGGGATTAATAATTAATTGGAGATGTATAATCTGGGTACTTTTTATTTTATTTTTAAAAATTTTTTATTAGTGAAACACCATGAGGTACAGTAGTAGACTTACAAATTTTTGTGCTTGGGTTTCAATCATACAATGATCAAACACCCATCCCTCCACCAGTGCCCACCCTCCACCAACACAGGTCCCAGTATCCCTCCCACCTCCCATTCCCCCACCCGACCCTACCTCTGTGGCAGGGCATTGCCTTTTGTTTTATCTCTCCTTTTCGGCGTTGTGGTTTGCAAAAGAGGCATTGAGTGGCAATCATGTTTGGTCTATAGTCTACTTTCAGCATGCTTCTCCCATCCTGGAAGGATCCTCCCAACACCCTTTATTTGGTGCTCCTTTCTCTATCTGAGCTCCCTTTTCCCCTAGTATGTGTGGGTGGCCTCCAAACCATGGAGCAAAACCCCTGGTACTAATCTCAGCCACTCTTGGGTGTTAGTCTCCTATTTTGTTACTTTGTGTTCCTAATCTGGGTACTTTTTAATGGTAAAATATACATAACATGAAATTTACCATTTGAATTATTTCTGAGGATGACTGGTTCTTTGATGCACATCTAGTCAGAATAGGGGAATAAAGGAGAAAATATACAACAGAAATGAATATAGATGACATTAATATAGATATTAGAAATATGAATAACTTCATGTCAATATATTTGACAACTTTGATAAAATTGGCAAGCTTTCGGAAACAAATCTATTGCCAATAGTCATGCAAGAAGAAACATAATAACTGAACAGCTCTATAGTACTTAAAAAATGGAACTTTAGGCAAAATGAGAGAGACAGACGACTTGTGAATTGTGCCAAACTCTTTTTGGGAGCCGGGGGGTGGGGTATATTCAGCTGTTACTCAGGGTTTGCTCCTGGCTCTGTGCTCAAGGGTAATTTCCAATGGAGCTTCGGGATCTATGAGGTGCCAGGGATTGAGTCTGGGTTGGTGGAGTGCAAGGGAAACACACTACTTGCTATATTATCTGTCCGGTCCTGTGCCAAACTTTTAAGGAAGAAACAGTATTCTTGGGGGTATGGTGCCACCAGCAGATCAACCTGTATCTGCGGGGTGAGTGTATCAACAGCCTGATGGTGCCTTCAGGCTTCCTGATACCCCAAAATTGCCGCTGTGCCTATGGCCAGACCCCAACAACTGGGTACCAAGTTTACCAAGAAATTAAATGGCCAAAAGTTAGGTATGTGGGAGCCACACCCACAAACTACCTCCGGCTAGGCTATACAAGCTCATTTATTGGCCTTATTTCAGAAGCCCATAGATAAGTCTCAAAAGAGATTAAAAGCTGCAGTTAATCTCGGAACCGCACATGGCTGAAAAGACTGGGGTAAATCGGAGGGGGAGGGGTTGACCTTGTGGTCCACTCAAGCAGAGTCCCCAGCAGCCAGTTGCTTCCAGAATCCAAAATTGCCATCATATCTCCAGCCTGACTGCACCATCACAGGACGGACTTAACCAAGATATAATCCGCTGAAAATTTGGGTATGTGGGTTTGGGGACTGAAATCCCCAGGCTTTCAAGGAGTTGTGGTAGGATACCTCCCCACACTTCCCAATACACATGGAAGCACTGGCAGTCAACACCACGAACCAACTCCAGCACCACCCTGTAAGCTCTACTGCCGGCCTTGCTTCAGAGACCCCTAAATAAACCTCAAAAGAGATCAAAAGTCGCGGAAAAGCTTGGAACTATCCATGGCTGAATAGACCGGGGTAAATTGGAGGGGGGCAGGTTGGCCTGTGCCCGCCCAGTCAGAGCCCCAGGCAGCCACTTGCTTCCACAATCCAAAATCGCCACCACACTCCCAGCTTGACTCCACCGTCTCAGGATGGACCTCACCAAGATATACCCTGCTGAAAATTTTGTAATGTGAATCATAATGCACCAACAGCCCTGACCCACCTGACCCACAGACACAGCAGCAAGTCCTGGAAGACACCACAGCATTGAAAACCTCTCTGGGCCCCATACCAAGCCAATTTCACCGAGGCACCCCAGATGGAGCAGGTGTGCTCTCCCCACCTCTTCCAGATGGAATCCCAGTGACCAAAACCTTCCAAAAGCAAGGCCCAGGTATGTGGGTTATAGGACTGAATCTCCAGGTCTCATAGTAGCAGAGGACCCAGGCTGTCCATACTCAGATCCCTGCTGGCCCAGCAGACTAGCTGTCACGCACAGACTTTGCTTCTGGGCACCATCTTAGCGCACCAATAGCCCTGGCCCAGAGACTACCAACTGAATCCCAAAATGGATTATTGCCATACAGAGATGCTCTGGAACCCAACCATTTACAATCTAGAA